AAAAAGGAAACTATTGATCTGGGTATGTTCTCTGTTGACTTTATTCACAGCAAGTGTTCGCTTTATGTAAGTCTCCGTGAGGTAAATCACCCAGAGCAGAAACCCAGGGCCTGCCACCCCCATTAGTGACCCTGGTGACTCTTCCCACAGTAGACGTGTGTTAAGAAAACGATGAATTGAGGTGCTCACAGTGTTGAGTTGATCTGGTTAGCATGAATTACGGCAAAGCGTGAGTCTAAGTTGGCTTTGCAGTGAAATGGATGAGGGGCTTTCCTGCAGTAGGTTGTGGTGTCTCTTGTAGGGGCCTTTCTAGCTAAGGACAGGTAATTAACCTGTGTTCTTGTCCTCTGTTGTGTAAACCYGCTCTGGCTTTCAGAGAGATGAGGCTGAGGATTGTGTTCATGTTCAGAAGTCAGGCTAGGAACACTGCTTTTCATCTTGATCCTGAAATATAGTTTCCTGGAGTGGCGTGGTTATTTAAATAAAATAACCCAAACTTTCTGATGGAGTGGGACAGTGTTGAAGTGGAAAGTATTTTTTAACATGCTTACGTACTAATTAAACTAAAATAGAGCTTATGCACAGCCTATACTTCCTCCACTCAGCATCCTGAGTTTTAAGGTGGAGAATTTTGAGTCTTTTCATCTGTCACTTGCAGGTTTATTCTGTTTTAGACAAGTGTAAAATGGGAGTATTTCTTTACTCTGTGGTGTTAAATTACTTTTCTTCTGTTAACCTGCAAGCGACACTTTTCATGTTTTATGCTATTGCTTGATAAACAAAGCATATTTGTGCAGCCACACTGACCCCTGTTATAAATAGTTAACCCAGTGATATGGGTTATGCTATGTCTTCCATTCACATGCTCTGAATTTGGCACTTTAAATCAGTTGCTTGCGATCTGTTTACCGTTTTGTATGTAATCTGTTAGCTCGTTGGTTTTTCACTGGTAAACTTTATATCCGGTTTGTAGCTGCTCTCTTCATCTGAAAAGACTGTATTTTCTCAAATAATTTGACATTGGTAGTGACCATTTATTGTATTTTTCATATTCACCTCTCTCCTTGGAAAGAATTGGTTTTTTATTTTTTTTTTAAATTGATACTCAGAATTTGTAATAGGAAGAGTGATACTTGGAAAAAAAAATAGAGCAAACTTAGTTTTATGAAGAAAAAATATTACTATTTAAAACAAATTCTACAAATTTAAAACAAATTCTTCATTAGAATTACTTGTGGAATTTGTGTAATTCATTATTCTGTGGAAAACTTTGGTAATCTGCCTTTAAAACAAGAAAGTGGGAAGATAGAAATAGATGATTGACCGTRACGCTGAATAACACTGAATAATATGGAAAATAGAAGAAATAGAACAAGAAAATGGAAAGCTGTCTGTCTCACATACCCTAGAAAAAGGAAAACATTGGTAACATCATAAACTGCTTTGATCACACAAGCTTGTTTGGCACGGAAAGACCAAGCTTGTTTAAAACTGTGTTTGGAAGGTGGTCGGTACAGGCGGGTATGGTTGTAGATGCCCCGTGATTGTAGGTGCCGTTTCACCTAACGTTGGCCTGTGCTAATCCCTCCTGCGACCCTGCTCTGCACCTCTGGGCTGTTCCTGTTGGGGCATCACATTTTGCTGCTCCTTCTTTCCAGCTTCTGTTTCTCCCTAAACTCACAGTGCTCCAGAAATGCACGTCCCGCACTACCCTTTGACAGGTCGGTGTTGCAATTCCTTCTTGATATCCCGGTGTGAGCATCCAGTAGGGGTACTATTCAGTGTATCCCATCTGTGAATTAATTCACTTCCTGAGCCCATTAGACTGTGAGTTGAGGTTTCTTGTCTTTCAGTGACTTATTTTACTGTTCTCTGGCTAAATGATTTGTTGTGCAGGAAATATTTTTTTATACAAGCTTGTTCATTTCCTTTGCCTTTACTATTGGGCACATTACATCACAAACATACAGGTGTTGAGGAAAATATGAAGCTAATATCTTTTACATAAACTTTGGAATATCTTTTCCACAGACCACATTTTATAGGTACTGTTAATCCCTGCAGCTTTCCTGTAGTTAAGAGAAAGAAATCATACGATCCTAGGAATATAAAAGAAGCCAAGCTTCAGAAAGGAACTAGTGTTGCAGACATCTTTGACAGATCAAAAGGTTGCATTGAGTGGAATTTTTAGCTCTGTCATTTTTTAGGGAAAGAGAACCTACTGTCCTTAAGCTGATTGGAAGCTACATCTACAAAACATAGAGTAAGACAACACAAGTTTGTTCTGCCCATGGTCTGAGCAGATAAAGCACAACTTTGATCCTAGTGAAAGGGCAAGAGCAAGGACAGCTRATTGGTTAGGGTGATGTGTTGGCTCTTTGGGGTGACTGTCAGGGATTTTGTCTTTCTCTAACAGCTTTAGACATGAAGAATTCTATTTTATTCCAAAGTGGTTAGCCTAAATAAAGTTCTTTTTGGAAATGTTTTGCATGTAGTAATGTTGACATATCTCTGTGTATTCATGTACGTACATGTGCATATGTGTGTGTTAAGTTCTCTGTGTTAGCAGTGCTCGGTGCTGCCTCGTGTACRCAGTGATGTTATTGCAGATGCCACTATGGAAGACAAGCAAGGCTGTGGTGGCAGGGGTAGAAATACCTAGTCAGAACAGCTGCAGTAAGAGGCTGAAGGGAGGGAGGTGTTTAGGCCAGCGCTCTCTTCCAGGCTGCAGATCTCCCTGTGCGCGAGGACGAGTCTGTTTTGTACAGTCACGTTATCTACCCTTCGTGCCCCTCACTAGGAAGGAGCTCATAGTTCCATTTTTCCCCTTGCCAAAKGGGAGTAGCAGCTTGTTGCACACATCTGAGGTGCTTCCTGGGGTCTGCTCTGCTGGGACTGCACAGGCTGAAACCTGCAGGATGTGAAAGCCAGCCTGTAGCCAGAGTTTATCATCTTCCCTGTCCATCAAAAGTCCTTTCTAACGTGTGGTACCAGTTTGAGAATGTGATGCATACACATATCCTCCCTATAATGGTGTCGTGCTCTACTTTTAACTCAAAAAAGCAGCTGCAAAAGCTGTTTTGGAATACCTATATTAGACATGAATCACTCTTATTATTTCTGAATTGCACCTGTTGCTGTGCACAACAAATGAAGCTGTCAAGCATGAYGAGTTTATATTGTGTTTAGTCACTTTAATTGGATCATCTTCCCCAACAGTTAGGCTGGTTGCAGCTACAGAAGCGAGCAGACACTGTTGTGATTCTCTGGAATGAGGTAGATAAGAGGCAAGAAATGCCATAGTAGCATTTTTATGTTACCAAGCAGATGATGGAGTCAACCTTATTAAAGAAAGATGGCACTTGGTGGATCACTTTTTAGTGCTTGTTTCAGGGAAAGCACACTGCTCATAACAGAGACTTATGACTAAATGGCAGCTTGGAGGAGGAGGACCAAATCAGCAGGAATGCCAAGAATTACTCATAATAAGGCTGTTCTGCACAAATTCTGAAGCTGTGGGTGTATTTAGAGCGAGAAATGGTTTCCTCTGAACTGCGTCTACAATACACTAGTTGTCCCCTTTATCTGAAAGTGGCTGCTTCATTAGTGGCTTTTTGGTGCCATTTCTGTTACGCATATTCTTAATCAGCCTTTTGGGAAATTACTGTCGCCTTTTGGAAAATTGGTGTTCCCAAACTTGCACATGCTGAAGTTGCTGAGGTAGCGGTTGAGAACTGGGATAATTTGCTCCTGTCCTGGTTGCTGAGTGAATGGTGTGTAGTGATTTATGGGGAGGAATGGGGGAGGAGGCATGAGCAGCAGGATTGGGAAATGGTCGGTGTATTCCAAAACCTTGCATCTGAAACTGTAATAGATTGGCASGTTTGTTAAAACCTTGAATGGTGATGCTATTTCACACAGTATCAAACCATCTAAGTCCTGTGGCACTGGAATGAGGGTGATTCGGAAGTTATTTCTGCGACTAGGAGAGGAGACTGGGAATACATAGAAGAGGCAGGTGAACAGTCTGGACCTAGCAAAGCCTGAAATACCTTCTGTAACAAATAGAATAAATAATTTTTAACATCTGTGTCAGGTCTGCATAATTTAGGATATTGAGAATACTTTGGCATTAAATTATGGAAAGAACTAGGTCCAAATAGTATTCTTGGCAAAACAAGATAGAGCAAAACAAGATAGGTCTGATACTAGACCAGAACTATTCCTCTAGACCTGTTTTGACCTCTGGAATGAGGAGACTGGSTTATCACGTCAAACAGTACGTACTGAGGAGCTGTAAGAGAAGTCTGCAGACTTGATTAAGTCACGAATGATCTGGTGAGGATTCGGTTCAGACAGACTTTTATGACTGTYGAGCTTCCAGAGAGGAGTTTTTCTTCTTTTCTTCCTTGTTTCCCAGGCTCGCACTTCGGATGGGAGTAGCTTTTGCTGCCTATAGCTGACCATGAAGGCAAACCTTGAGTCATGGTCCGTTTCTGCAGTTGCTTTGGAATTGTGAAAATACTGTTTTTCACTACTTTCATGTGGTAAATAGGAGGTTCCACAAAATKTCTTTGCTAGCAATCACCCTGTTTCATGTGAAAATCAACAATAAAAAAAGTTGGGCCTCACCTTTCTGTTAGCATTGCACTGTGGAAATCTGAGTAAAACGATACTGTACTAAATCTGTCTATTAACTAAAGCACAACCACTTACTTATATTTTCCTGTAAAATTAATTTCTGTAATGGTCCGGTGTGCCTTGCCATATAAACGTGTGTGTGTGTGTGTGTGTGTGTGAACCAACCAGCACAATTAGGTTACATCATAGAGTTTCATGCTTACTGTGCATTTGGTATTCAGTTACATCTTTCACATTTCCAGTATTTTTGTCGTTAGTTTTTGACAATGAAATGATAAAATTATTCATTGCATCCAGCCTTATATTTGATGCTTGGATGAGAACAGTGGGTAACATTTTCAATCGCTTCTGCCTTGCAGGTTAATCTCCGAGCCACTGATGTCAAGCTGATGCGCCAGCTCCTCATTATCAATGAAAGCATTGAGTCTATCAAGTGGATGATCGAGGAGAAGGCTATTGCCAGCAGGGGCAGCAGCTTGAGTGGCAGCCTGTGCAGCTTGCTGGAAAGCCAGGACACATCCCTGCAGGGCAGCTGCAACAGTTTGCAAGACTGTAGCGATGGACTAGATGGAATATCAGTGGGGAGTTACCTGGACACATTGGTGGATGATGTACCTGGTCACCAAACCCCCTCGGATATGGACCAGTTCAGTGATTCTTCTCTYCTGGAGGACTCGCAGCCCATGCATAAGCATCCCAAAATTGAATCGGATGAGTACTACTGTTTCGGTTAATAAAAACTAGTTTCAATGGGACACATGTGCACTTGTATTTATCCTTTTCCTTTGCTGCTATTTTATATTATGTACAGAGAGAAAAAAAAAAAAAAAACTTCGAACGAAAACCTCCTTTGATTTCATTTTAGAACTTTCCTGTTGCTCCTAACACCTTTTCTCCTAGGTGAGTTGTCTTCTTTTCTCCTGCTCCACTTTTCTTAATTTATTGTTGCAATTTTTCTTTAATTTTTTTATAATGGTATATCTACAAGTTTTTAAAAGTGGTGGAGGAAAAGCCTTAGCTTTAAAATGAAACCTAGGAAAATGGAGTGTTAATTTTGTACTTGTTAGCAATAAAATGTCTTCTGATAACCATATGTTGTAGCAAATTTTCTTGGTTACCTGKTTTTGCCTTTTTAAAGACTGTTTTTATTCAGCCTTAGGTCTGAATTTTGACCTACAAAATAAATACTGCCTTTTGTAAACAATGATGTTTGATCCAGTTAAGCTGTTTTCACTTGGAGTAAAAAGTTTTCCAAACTTTTCTGTGTGGAGTTTCTTTCTTCATGGATGTTCTTATCATACTTGTCCATTTATGAACTTAAGCGTGAATTCTTGGTTTAGCTAATGTCCTGGAGTGGTAGGTCCAGGTACTACAAGCTCTGCATGAGAATATATTTCATTTCAATGTTTACTGCCTTTCATCTTCCTTGAGCTTATTGCTTTTATAGGCACAGTGTGTGTGTGTGTGTGTGTGTGTGTGTGTGTGTGTGTGTGTGTGTGTGTGTGTGTGTATGTATATATATATATATGTGTGTGTGTAGAAAAAAATGAGGGAGGCATTCCATATTCAAAATACCCAATTTTAGTGCCTTGGATTCTAGACCAAAAGTCCTTGACAGATTTTTTTTTAAAAGCATCCTTTAAGCTCTTGACTTTTTTTTTGTTTGTTTTAATCTTGAAACTTTGAGTGGCTTAACTGAACATTGTGAAATATTTTGCAAGAAGTGTCTTGCTGGAGAGCATGTTCCTTTATATTTTTGCATAATATCCCTTTGTTCACAAGTTTATTTATTTTAAATAAAGCATACAATTAGTAAAT